CAAATAACAAAAAGTATACTTCCTTATAATTAATTTCACTTCAGGATTATTGAAATTATTGCGAAAGATAAAAAATATATTAGATTCTAATTGTGTTATTATTTCAATTAAATTTCAATTATGTTCAATCATTTAGATTTAAATAGATTAATGTTTACTTTTTAAAATTAATTGAAACTGAGTCAAGTTAATTTATTTTTAAACTATGTTATCATATTAATTTTTAATTAAATTAAATTTTAAAATGAGTAAAAAATTTTATTGTATATCAATTTGAGTTTTAAATTGTTTCAAGTTTGAATTAATTAATCATATTTTTTAGTTTATACTTTTATGACACTAGTAATAAATTTCAAAAAAAATGAGAACATAATACAATAAAATTTTAAGCGGCAAAAGTTACGAAGATACTAATGAAAATTTTAGAAGAAAATTCTTATACCCAAGTCTTACATAAATTAAAGGATATAATTTCTTTTGAGAATTCTTGAATTCATATTATAGAAATTTTAATCTAGATCAATGAGTTTATAATGGTTCATTTACTGATTAAGTTGCTACTATATAGGTTGATGGAAAAAACTTAAATATTTCATTTGAAAGAAATATCATAATTCATACTTAGGAAACAACATAGAATTAATATAATAACTTTGTAGTAAACAATTATAATATAGTTATAAATGAACAATATAGTAGTAAATCAAGGGCAACTATTAAAAAAATAAGTGATAACTTAGTAGTTAATTATAATAACTTAATAATAAATCAATATAACTTTATAGGAAATTAGTTAATTTAATAGTAAATCAATTTCAATTTAATAGTAATTAATTGATATGTAGTAAATCATAAATAACATAGTGGTAAATCAATGATAACTTAGTACTAAATAATTAATGATTTAACTATTATCATTGAAAACTTAAAAGAAGAAGAAGATAATTTAGTAGTTAATCTTTGAAAACATAAAAGTAAATCATTATAACTTAATAGTTAACCAATGATAACTTAATAGTAAATATGAATAACTTAATATAAATTACTGATAATTTGATAATGAGTTATGGACAATTTAGTAGTAATTGGTAATAAATTTTAAAAATAATAAAAATTAAGTAATAAAATCAATAATAACATAGCAATAAATACATAATAATATAATAATAAATCATTTATAATTTTTAGTAGTAAATTAATTACAAATAAATTAGTTAGGTTCCTTCAAACTTAAATTTATTGCGTTCAAATATATTATTTTTTAAATTAGATTTACTTATTATAAATTATTTTTAATTTAAAATGAATAAATTAGTTATTATTATATTTTTACAAATATGTAGATTTAATTTTAATATATATATGAGTACTATAATTATTAAAACCGATAAACAAATATTCAATTGGCATCATTTTCTTTTTTTAATCAAACTATTTTTACTATACATTGCATGCCCATTTTTTGTGAAAATTGTTATAAGTCAAAATAATTACAATGACTAGTTTAAGTATCTTTTTCATAATTTTAAAAATATCATACAAAAAAATTCAAAGATTTTAACTAATTGTATCAAAGTTTTTACTCTATTGCTCTAAATTTTATTTTTTAGTTAATAATTTTTTTTACTTTTTTACTTTAATACTTAAGTATGCTCATTTTTAAAAAAAACTATTACATACTAAAATAATTAATATGAATATAGCCTTAGTACCTTTTCGTAATTTAAAAAGTACCATTTAAAAAATTATGAGGTTTCAGTTTATTATATTAAAATCTTTACTTTACTGTTCTAAATCTTTTTATTCAAAAATGTAATATTTTATGAATTTTTAATGTAATATGTAAAATATTAAATATCACAAGATAATATACTAATAATGTAAAAAATAATTATATTTTTTATAAAATATGTTGCTAGTGATTTATATATAATTTATTTTATATATTTTACATATTCTTTTTATATAATAATAGGGTTCGAACTTTTACTTTACATGATTTTTTAAATTCTTTTAACTATTTGATTAGAAGTTGAAGACATTATTTACATTATTAGCATTACTTGTAATGCATTAAATGTTATTATTATATTTGCATTTAAATTTTGTTATTATTAATAGATTTGATATATTTTTAAAAAAATTATTATCATAAAATATTATTTCAATCCCCCGAAGTTAAGCATTAAGATCCGTTACTGTTAAACGTTAATAATCATGGCCGACATCATCATTTGGAAATTCAGAAAAGAGAAGAAGAGAGAGCAATTGTACGAAACTGACGACTTAGGAATGAACGAGCGGGCAGCTATATATAATGGAGCATGAACCCAATCCGGTAAAGCTGCCATTAGTTTCAACCAGAAACCAGTTTTTTTTTGCAAGCATATCCTGTAAGATTTCCCCTGTTCTCTCTTTGCTTGTCCTGCTACTATCACTTTCACTACTCTTGCCTCCAACTTCAACCAGAAGCACTCACTTGGGTAAGTGTTAACTATGTAATATAAGTTACAACGAAAAGGAAAAAAAAAAAAACAACTATCATTGTACCGTAACGTTCTTCTAAGTTTTGGATATTATCTATTGTTCAGTACTTAATAATTTAGTAATAAATTATTTATAGATAAATGATAAATTATTTATAAATTAATAATAAATTAATGATAAATTTAATAATCAATTATTATAATTTAATAATAAATTATTAATAACTAATAGTAAATCATTAATAACATAATAATAAATAAATATATAATTATCAATTATTGATAATTTTTTTATATTACAGTTGTTACGAATTGAATTCTAATTATTAGCAAGAATAAAACTAGATCTTTCATCTTTGAGGTTAGAATAAACTTATTATGAATCTATTCAATAAAAATTTGAATAAAATTTTTTAATTTGAATTAAAGCGATAATGTTATTATATAAAAAAAATTTATCTCATATATTGTGAGTGTACTTTTTAAACTCCATATTTCATAGTTGTAAATCCATAATAACATAGTAAAAAAATCAAGGATAATTTAATAAAAAATAAGTGATAGTTTAGTTGTTAATAAAATAGATGGAAGTATCAATAGAAGATTATCCTATGGAAAACAAAAATTGATTGATTATGAATAGCTTTATTGTCTCCATGTGACAAGCAAGATTAGTACTATATGATATTTCAATGAAGAATATATAATGCATTGATTTCAAAATTTTTTAGGATTAATATGAAATTCTTTTATTAAGAGGAATATAGTAAACTCTTTCATTTTCTTCATTATATTTGGTGAAAAATATTCATTGTTGTATCAAAATTTTTAAGGTTACTATATTGGTAATATTTTTCAAAAATGTTAAAATTTAGTAAATTAATTATTTTTTATAAATTTAATTTAATTATACTTCAAATTGATTTGAAGGTATTCATTAGCAAATTCATTTGATACATCTTTATTTAATTAATTACTTAGTATTTTAATTATTTAAAATTCTTATTTTTCATTATTTTGAGTAGGATTTGACTTAAGATTAGTGATTAATTAGGTTAAATCAAGTTTTATCATTTACCTTTATTCATAGTATACTTAATTATTCACTTATGCACCTAAGTAAATTTGACTCAATAATTGGCATATGCTTCTTTTTGTTTAAAAAGCTATATTAAATTATTTTAAATCCAAATAAAAAAGTATACTCAATTACTAATAATTGTAATTCACTTTAAATATAATCTTAAAAATTAATTAACTACTTCAATAACAAAGACGATAAAAGTGAGACATTAAAGATGAAGAAAACTTAAATAAGAACTTTTAATTTGTTATAAAGATGAATAAGAAATATTCGATTTGATTGGATTATTATATCAATTCCAATTTTGGTTATCTAC